CTACCTCACATTGAGAGAAGCCAGTTGAGGAGGTTCAGGCATCTGGTTACAATGCTTCCTGGATGCCTCCCTGGTGAGGCTTTTCAGGCATGTCCAAACTTTGCATGTAATGAGTCTATCTCACATATTAGTTTCATCTTTTAGTTTGAATTACTGAAATACTTTTACACAACATTCAATTTTTTTGAGTTTCGCTTGTATTCAGAAAACTTTAAGTGGAATTCTGTTGCTCAAAATTACGGTATATCCTTATTTGAGTGTTTATTTTCTCAGTAGCTCTGGAGTTGGCTAAAATTGCACTCATTTGCAAAATTAACTTAACATTCTGAAAAAGAGCAGATGAAAGGTGTAAATGAGACAAGTCCAAAGATGCTAAAGGGCATAAAGGTGTAATGTGGCAGAAAAAAGCTCAGAATCACAAAATAAATAATTAAAGATATGGGAGAAAATTTTATAATGAAATATGGATCCAGTACAGTGTCATAATGAGTGACCACCTGCTGTGAAGAGGATGGTTACCTTCAGTTTATCAGCTCATTAATTCAGCTATGTTTCTTATCCATCATGCTCAGCATTTTCTTTTTTTATATCTTCAGTTTAGTTGCTTCTTTCTTTTTCTTTAGAAAAAAGCTTTTACTTAACTATATAAAACAACATAGTAATTATTAAACTCAACTCAACTCAACTTTATTTGTAAATCGCGCCTTACAGGTGAAAAGATGCCACCAAGGCGCTACACTCATCAAGTAAAAAACATAAAACATTAAGTCCAGAAAATAAAAACATTGTTTCACAAGATACAGATAAAAAAAATACAGTGAGTACACAGATTGCTATAAGTAAAACAATAAAACTAGTCAGAAAGGTTAAAAGACAGATCATAAAAGTAGGGTTTTAGCCTTGCCTTAAAAATCGCAACAGAGGTGGAGGCCCTTATGGTGAGAGGAAGCTCGTTCCAAAGCTTAGGACCTGCCACAGCAAAGGCCCTACCACCACGTGTCTTTAGGCGCGTTCTTGGGACTGAGAGGAGCATGAGGTTCTCCGAGCGGAGAGACCGTGCAGGGGTGTACGGTTGAAGCAGTGACACCAAGTAAGGAGGGGCCAAACCATTTCACGTTTTAAAAACCAATAAGAGTATTTGAAACAAATCCCTACATCAATGGGCAGCCAATGAAGCGCAGCCAGGACAGGAGTAATGTGGTCATACTTGCGCCTGCCCTTTAAAAATCTGGCAGCAGCATTCTGCACCATTTGCAACCTGGCTATTGAGGCCTTGCTCACACCGAATAAAACAGAGGCAGGTACAGCTGACAATCGTCAGCATATAGGTGGAATTGAACTCCAAGCTCACGACAGATGTCACCTAAGGGCAGAATGTAAACAGAAAACAACAGTGGTCCCAATATCGAGCCCTGAGGTACACCCCAGGGTAGATCAGAGTACTCTGAGGAATAACTTCCCATCCTAACACACATTTTTCTATTTGTCGGGTATGATCTAAACCATTCCAGGGCTAACCCTGAAATCCCGACATAATGATGTAGACTGTGAAGCAGCACTTCATGATCTATCATGTCAAAGGCAGCCGTGAGGTCCAGCAGAAGTAACAACACAGAATTACCGCTATCAGTCGCTAGATAAATGTCATTGAGCACTCTAACCAGTGCAGTCTCCGTGCTGTGTAGATCTCTGAAGCCAGACTGGAAAGTCTCAAAAATGGCATTCTCATCCATAAAAACCAAGAGCTGGTGGTAAACACATTTCTCCAGTACCTTACTTAAAGAGCAAGTCACCCCTGTAGGAGAAACTGGCTTGGCTCAGTTATATTGTAGCATTGTGGTTTTATGCTCTTTTATGAAAGAGGAACCATGCTACGTATTAATTCGGAATATTAATTTTTAATAAATCAATAACCAAATTTTATATTGTTAAGAAGACTCAAAGGTTGTTTTCATCGATAAACTGACGATAATATCTGTGTGTCTGTGTTTCAGTTCAATGAGGAAACCAGTTTGACAATTAAAAGTTTTAATTCTTCAAATTAAACTAATGATTTTGAAATTGACAAACAGGAAATAACAATCAACATTGGCAACTTGTGGGACAATCTTTAACAGTTGATATGATCAAATAGACCTTGTGGTGAATTTATGAAGATTGAGAATGTTGTGATATGAATGCGTGTGTGAGTCTGATTTTGCTTCAGGAAGAACAGGTGTCTGAGTGAAGTGATGGTTTGGATAAACTTAGGTCTTATCAGAGAACTGCATTAAATGCTAAACACCGTGTTCTGTCTCACCGAACTCTTGTGGACCCTCTTTCGGATCCGGGCCGTGGAGGATGGTGATGGTTCATCCAGATGACACCAGCGGCTGACAGGGGAGACGTAGGTGTCGAACGGAACCGGTCCAGAGTTGCCCTCGGTACACGTCGATGGAAAAGCGTTTTGTCGACGCGCTTTCTTAAGTTAAGTTCACTCAGAAATCAAAATACTCGGTAATGAGTCTACGTTAGAAGTTGCGATTCAGCTGTCCTGTCTGGCTAACAGGAACAGCGTGAGAGGGGGGGAGAAACGAGCCAACCGGCTCCCCCCTTTCAGCGTTTACTCAGGTCCTCTCTCTTTCGTTGTCAAGCACGAACTGCAATCATAAACTGAAACTTACCAAAAGCCTTTCTCCTCTCAAAGCAAACGTGTGCGTCAGCAAATGTGTTTTGGAGTTTACTGTGAGCAGATGTGCGTGGGCGTGTTTGGGTGTGTGAAGAAGCAGGAGTGTGAAGGTCGTTACCAAACATTCTCAACATTAACATTTAATTAAGAATGGATTAATTAAATCTCTTATAATTACCCAAAGCATAATAGTCATTCATTTGATTAAAACACATTTATAATGAGCAAATTGATGATTAAACTTTTAACATTCAAAACAAGAAAAGGAAGTTTAAACTTTATGTTTTGACTTGTTCTGGGTACAACTCATGGAAACACGTCTTCTGGACGCTGCAGGTGGCTGATGTTATGGCTTCTTCCAGACTCTCGCAGACTTCATGTCTGCAAAGGTCCCAATCTGTGTGTTAAAGTTCTGAGTGAGCCAGTCGGGTCAAACACCAGCTTTGTGACAGAAAACCCATATTTCCTCACGTTACACCCCCTACCAGAGTCTAACTCCACACCCACTTCATGTTTGAAAAATGCAACAAATGCTGTTGCCTGGCAGACCGAGAGGGCGGAGCTGCTAACAAATACACACACACAGGCTCACGCAGCATTGTGACATCATACTGTACCAGTTTACATCATAGCATACCTCTTAGCCAATAGTGGGGGCAGATTTAAATTCAAATACAGTGCAGAGTTTTTACCTGACAACGGCACAACACTGCCAGTTTTAGGCAGAATATTTAAAGAGCAAGTAACATCTTAATTAACTTCTTTTTGCTGATGAACTGTATAAATAAGTGTCTAACAGTGTTTTAAATGTGTGTATTCATAATTTTAGCATTTTGGTGCATTTTCTCTATAAATTAAAAATTCTGCCTAAATACCACAGTATAGCGCCACCTTCAGCTTAAAACATAGAGTTTCAGTCATTTTGAATACACTTTAGCCAATGGCTAAAGAGAAAGATACTATGTAAACCAGTAGAGTACTACGTAGCAGCTCTGTGTCAAAGTTATAAAAGCATCGAGAGTCTCGGCCACGCCTTGTGGCGAGTTGGGAGTTGGATTTGCAAGCGAGTGTAGGACGGTTAGCCGTAGTTCAGCATTAGCATACAGCATTATCCTAATCTTTAGCATAGCTTTTAGTGTTATACATACTTATTTAGTGTTAGCTTGGCTGTTGGATATTGTAGATTAGTTAGTGTTTAGCTGTTAGTGTTATTAAGAAAGTAGTTCAGGTTTAGTGCTCCATATCGTGTTAGTATGGTGAGAAGGTGTAGTGTAGTGTGGTTGCGGTGGCTCTGTGGGGTTGCACTCCTTTCCACTGGACTTAGAAATTAGGCGCCAGTGATTGCGCACAATCGGTGTACTGGAAAACAGTCAGCTCCTGCCTGGTGCTGTTTATAACCAGCATTTTACCCGCGATTCCTTCGCCAACATGATGGAGTTTGACCTGGGTTATTCTGCACGTCTCCGTTTGAAGATGGAGGCCGTGCCCACAGTGGCTCTTCCGCGATTTGAGCCCACCGACTCTGCTCCCCCACACGGCGGGCTCCAGTCTGAGGTGAGTAAGCTAAATAAAAATGTTGACATATTCTAAAGACAATTCCCTACCTAAATGCAAAGTTTCAGAGATGTGGTTAACTTCATAGCTAATATCAGTCTGCACTGCCTTCGGGCTGATTTGTCAAGTTCACAAAATGTGGAACGGGATGTAAGGTTAGAATCAGCAGCGAATCGGAACATATCTCGAAGCCCTGGCTGATGAAACGGTCCACATGACTATTACTGTCAGGCTCGGAGAAAATTCGGGTTGTTTTTGTGTCAGTCGGTAATTCTGCAACAGTGGCTCTAACTAATGCAGCACTAGTTGACAGACAGCATTACAGTGTGAAATCCAGCTTTACACCACAGCATGACCCGGTTCTGTGAGGAATTCTGTTCAGGAGGTCGCATTTCAGGCTCTCCACATCATATGTGACTGACTTTTACGTTATAATAACGATCACACACTAGGAATGTTATAAAGTGCCTATATAGGACAGTTTATTTTGTATATTATCTGACTTTATAAACTCCAACAACAATGTGCTTCTATTTTTTTCAGGCTAAATCTACCCAAGACATTGGCTGTCAGACTGATTTAGTAGTCTGCAAGAATGCACTTGTCCAGGCTGACGTGAAGCCTTACCAGCGTAGCAAAGGTGAATTATTTTTAATAATCTTCTATGCAAATATTTTATTATTACCTTCTAGTTTTAATTTGTTTTACAGATTATTGTTACATGTGATTTTATGCTCTTTTAAACATTTATAAATGTGCTGCTTCTTTGTTTTTCACATAGCCACCCAGTTTAGAGCTCCCAGCCTCAGTGTGTCTTGTGACACAGGGACCATGACGGAAATTCATCTTCCAGAAAGTCCCAGAGCAGCGTCCACACCCCCTGAAAAGACCAAGATGTGAGGTCCCATGCTGTCGTTCTTTTTTTAAAACACAGAAAAGTTTTGTTACCTGTTTTCCCGCTACGTTTTGTCTGCGGCTGCAGACTTCCTCAGGCTGACTCTGATGGTGGCGTCACTTCCTTCTCCGTTTATCCGCGGGCAGCAGAGGACGTTGTTACCCTCTCCTGCCCGCTCTATAAAAACAGGTAACACAACTGTTCCATGTTTAAAAAAAGAATGACAGCATGGAATTAAAAATACGACACAGCAAGAACACACCTAAGATGTTCAAAGATGTGAGGTGTCTGCTGTTGATTCCAGCTTCCACCTCAGTGACAGTGCAAGATCAGTGAACTGTTCAAGGTAAAAAAAAAAATTAAAACATTTCAGCAATTTTAAGATATTAACAATTAAATAAGTATGTGATTACATCATGACATCATGAAGGAGGCTACTGATTCTGCCCCTGTGACACTTGGTGGTGACGTGTGAGCTGATTTGCCTGGTAAATACCTTTTACATGAAATATTTTGTTCTTTGCTATCAATAGTAAATTAACTAATAACCTGCATTATTGCAGGACACTCAGCAAAATATGGACTCTACACCATGAGGCAGGCACACGTTAATATTCTATAAGAGCACATAAGGTCAGCAACACCACAGATTATCATTATTGTTATTACTGTACACTGTCCTGGATTTGTTTTCTTTCTGCATCTCATCATTAGTCATCTGGTTGTGAAAGCATGAGGATGTCCTCACACACCTGTAACCTATCAGCTCATCTGGAAGAATAGAGAGAGAAGAGACAACACCACATCTCCTGTTCCTGGAAAGCCTTCAGCCATCCTTCGATGACTGAGAACCTCCATCAGCTCTGTCTCCTGTCTGCCTACAATTATTATAATAAATACTGTGTTTGACAAGTTTTTGTGCTGCCAAATATCTCATTTTGATTCCAGTTTTGATATTTTAATGGATATTTATAAATTACATTAATTGAATTATCACATCGTTGCATGTTTAACTAGCTCTATTGTGATGAATTAAACTAGCATGTTTAAGTATTTATGGACATGAGCAAAAACAGGAAATATAAAAATTGAGATTTATTTAATTAATATAACAAATAAAGGGGAAAGAGTCATTGAAAGGCACATCCTTCTTGAAGCTCCTGATCCTGACGACACCAGCAGGAGACCAGCTGCAGACACCAGAGGACCTAGAACCAAGAGAGCAGCTGGTATCAGTAAATAATGAAATCAGGGCAGTTTTAGTGGGCTGAACACATTACAGAATAATTTTCTCATGGGGTAGTTTTGTAACTTTCTATGCAGCAGATTGTAACTTGAGTCCAGGGCTCCTGGAGAGCTGCTATCCAGCACGTTTCAGTGGTTTTCCTGCTTTAACAGGTTAGATTAGCTGTTAAGCAGCTCAGCTATTTGTTGCTGATTAAAACCAGGTGTGTTGAAGCAGATAAACCTCAAAAACATGCTGAATACTAGCTCTCTAGGGCCGTGGAGCCAAACCCTGCAGCTAATCTAATGCTATGGCTAACGGCTACTTACCATTCAGCGCTGGTTCTGTTGGGTCGGTTACGGTAGTTTCAGGCAACTCACAAGCTCAAAACAATAAGGCTCAGGTCCACTTGTCTCCTCCAAATAGACTTGGTCCCTCTCTTCTCGAGTGTCTGGGTAAGGAGGAGGAGCAACCTCCTCTGCTCAGAGTGAAGGGAGCTAGCATCGTCTCGTTACCCATCGTCTTCGTCACTGCCGCGGCTCCGCCGTCTCGGTCCGTCAGGCAACGCCTACTAATGTTGCAGTTTTTAAAATTGATACGTGGGTGGAGAAGGACTCTGAGGCACACTTGACCTGCTCTTTAAATTTTAACTAAGATGCACTGAAGTGCCAAACTATTGACTACACGTGTCTGCAGCATGATTAGACATTCATTTATTTAGTTTATCAGCAAAGAAAAAGTTTATTTGGGGGTGACTTGCTCTTTAAGAATGGAAGTTTCAAAATGGGCCTGTAGTTTGCAGCCAGCGAAGCATCCAGTCCAGGCTTTTTGAACAAAGGTTGAATAACCGCCTTTTTGAAATCGTCAGGGACTATACCAGAACTGAGACTCAAGTTAATTATGTGCAATATTAAAGGGGCGACTACTGGAAAGACTTCTTTAAAGAGGCGCGTTGGCATCACTTCATCCGGCGAGCCACTCGGCTTAGCCTTCCCAGCGATCTTGATCAAATCATCAAGACTATTTTCTTGAAATGCTACCAAACCTCTGATGGCAGTAACAGAACGGCCACATACCGGTGCCCTACACATGGGAGCCCGGAGCGCAGCAACTTTCCCATTAAAAACGTCACGGAACTCATCACACATTTTAGCTGAAGCCTGCACCACATGATGATCATTTAATTTCAGAACTGAGTTAATTAAAAACTACAGTACACTACGTTTTATTTGAACCAAAGCCTATTTTAAATGACTTGATTCACTATTTCCTGCTATGTGATCTTTAACATTGGAAGTGGATTTTGAGCTACATTATTGTACAAAAATTTGTTTGTGCATTTTATTTCACACAAATGTCAGCCTGAACAGTGAGCTTTTTAGAGGGGAAACTCACCCAGCTGATCCTTTTGTGCTGCCATGTGGGTCTCTACTGCCTTTATGCACACTCCAAATGTGGAAAAAAAAAGTCCAACTGTTATTTTTTTTCCTGCGTTTTAGGAGTCGTGCCTAAAACAAACAATTTCAAAAAGTCTCCATTAATGATGCCACAAACAGGAACATTTAACTCATTCACTGCCATTGACAACTAAAGTTGTCATTTTAGATCCAACCGTCCACTTGCATTTTTTTTGCTATTTAGGTATTGAAACGAGCCTCCATGCTGAGAGAACAAACATCTCAGCTCTGAGATCTCCATCTGCATACGCCACACGTCACATGATCAGGAAGCAGAAAATTCATGTGTTAGGAGATCGTTTTGGGCCGTTCCTGTAAAAAAAGTGAGGCGCGAACCGGAAAAGCGTCTGCCGATCACAATACGACAACGGATTATGAAAGAACGGATAACGCTTGAAACACGCAGATTCTTCCTGATGTAAGAGGTGAGTCTCCGTTTTGTTTTGGTTGTTTTGGCGTCGACATCATCCTAGCGTGCAACGTTCTGTGACTCTTAAAAAAACAGTAAAAATGGCGAGAAACGCTGGCAACGAAGGCCTTTAGCGATCAGGAAATGGCTGGCAGCAAATGAGTTAAAGAGAAAGTTTTTTTTAATAGAGTCTAACAGCTGCAGCGTCTCAAGGAGCCTAAATGAGATGTACAGTTGGATGTTATCTGCATAAAGATGGTGAGATTCCTATAAAAGCCCAGGATGTGCTGGAGAGGAAGCAGATAGAGGAGTGTGTGTCTCTCTTACTGAGTGCTATTAGCTGTGGGTCTGGAGCCATATGTCTCACCAGTCTCTCTAAAGCAGCTCTGTTTGATAAAAAACACATGAACTTGAGTAATGTTTTTATATAAAGTATACAAGTTGAAAAGCTAGTTATCATTATGTTTCTACAGCCACGTGCCACTAATATTACAAGTCAGTTGTGTGTCATCAGTTTTGGAGAAGAATTAAATCATCTGGAGTTTTCACAAAAGCGTTTTACTGCTAACAGACGATAAATGAAATGTTTAAGCAATGTTGTAAAATAAAGAGAGATTAAACCCCAAATTCACCAGAACATATTTAATTATTCAATTTAAAGCCAGAATTACAGTATTAACAGAAGGTAGTTTTGTAAACTTACTGACTTTTACTTGAATATATAGAAATTTGACAGAGAACAGTGGGTGGTTGAAAAGAGAGATAACTGAAAAAAAACGTTGTTAATTAAGTCATAATTAACATAAAAACTAATGCAATTTCATATTTTTTCTCCAGCTAAGCTATTTTATGTAGTAGTTTTCTAGGAAGTGCTGATAAGGATTTGCATAGTTCTAAACAATAAGATACAATTGAGCATAAAACACGTTCCACCAGACCAACATCGTACTCAGAGATGTCAAAACTTCTTTTTCTGAATGCTGTTTATTTAGAACAAGGACAATTGCTATGATGGAGAGTTAGATCAAATTTAAGAGGTCAGAGTTGTTCAGTAGAAGGAGTTAAACTACTGAAATAAGTGTATCTTATCTTACAGTTAAATCTTAAGAAAAATGTACATCTGCAGGATGAGATCAAATCACAAGACTAAATGTTTGTGATCCAGTGGATTTCTGTATTGCTACTTTGTGCGTATGTAAGAAGCACATGTAAGAATTCATTTTCAGGGGAAATATCCAAACATAATATTATTTATTTGTAAAGTATGCTTGCAGTTGTATTTATTGCTGTATTATTTTATTTTTTACTACTATTATTTTTATTTCTGTCCTTATTAATGGAAATCTGAAAGGGTAGCATACAAAAGCTAGGCTTCAACCTATACCTTTTGGTTTCTTTCAGTGATTTTGGTATATTATTATTATTATTATTATTATTATTATTATTATTATTATTATTATTATGTTCTCTTCTCTTATTTTTTTTAAATGACCAAATAAATTAATAAATATTCTGCCCATCAATATATGTATACATACATGTGATTTTAGTGCTTCTTCTGAGTTACCAGAGTTTTGTTTGGTTTGTTATAAAGGATTCTTATTATTTTCATTCTATTATTCTTCCTAATTTTCAGTTTTTTGCTTAACACTATTGTACCAAACTCAATCTTTAAAAGGTAATCCTTTTGCCATTTAAAACACATTTTCAGAAGAACAGATGCAATAAGAACAAACTCATGTAGAGAAGCGAAAAGTTGAAAACACCACCCTCATCGGGCTCATCTCTGACGGTGATGAGTCCGCCTACAGGAGGGAGGTGGAACAGCTGGTGTACTGGTGCAGTTGCAACAACCTGGAGCTCAATGCTCAGAAGACAGTGGAGATGATTGTGGACTTCAAGAAAGTCACAGCCCCATCTCTCCCCCTCGTCCTGACGGACACCCCCGTCACCACTGTGGACTCCTTCCGCTTCCTCGGAACCACCATCACACATGACCTTAGGTGGGAGCCATCCATCAGCTCCCTGATCAAAAAGGCCCAGCAGAGGATATACTTTCTGCGGCAGTTGAAAAAGGCCAAGCTGCCGTCCCAGATGATGGTGCAGTTTTACACGGCCATCATTGAGTCCATCCTCACCTCCTCCATCACTGTGTGGTACGCTGGAGCCACGGTGAGGGACAAACATAGACTGTAGCGCATTGTGCGCTCTGCTGAGAAGGTGATTGGCTGCAGCCTTCCATCTCTCCAGGACCTGTACGTCTCCAGAACTCGGGGGTGTGCAGGCCGGATAGCAGCTGACCCTTCTCACCCGGGCCACAGACTTTTCGAGCCGCTTCCCTCAGGCAGGAGGTTACGGTCCATCCGGACCAGAACCTCCCGCCATAAGAACAGCTTCTTTCCATCTGCCGTTAGACTTGTGAATAGATTATAAACACACAACCATGCTCGTCTTCTGTACTTGACATAACGTCACGTTATCGGCCATGTTACCATTACCTGCCTTTTTTTATAGCTGAATGTTTTATGCTAGTTTTATTATATTTTATATTTTATTCTACTTATTCTATTTTTGAAATTTATTATTCATGTTATATGTAGCACATTAGTACTGAAGCAAGTTCCTAGTTTGTGAACTGCTTGTTCACTGACAATGGCAATAAACCTTTTCTGATTCTGATTCTGATTCTGAAAGCTACCTTCACCTCCTGAAGCAGGAAGATGGTGGTCCAGCCACTGGGAGCAATTTGGGCTGAATCGTCTTCCTCAAGGACACTTTGACATGCAGACAGCATGAGCTGGTAGAATCACATCTTTGATATGAAA